ACAGGATACGAGAGTCTGAAGGAGATCTAAGTGGAGAGTGCGATGGCCTCTCTATGATCCTTTGATATACAAGTCTCAGACTCCAGGGCCCGACTGCTGCGTACGCGTATGACTTCCTCTGCTGATCTAGTCAGCAGGATCATGCGCGTAGCAGTCGGTCCGTGGCCCAATTTCGCAGCTGACGTAGTACTACCATGGATGAGCGCAACCTCCCTCGTGCCTCGTCCGGGTACTAGACATCCATTTGTGACGGTCAGCCTTTCTAGCTGTGGGTTCTCACAAGTGTAGCATTGTAAGTGCGCCAAGGGCGCTGGAAGAAACAGATTTGATTCATATAGCATATCTTAACAATTCGTGTCTTCTGAAGACAATGCCTGTTCGCCATACAAAGTGTATGGGGTGTGGGGGAGAGATGGCTTTGACATTCCCCTTCTTTGACCTCTTGACGGAGACCGCCTGAGGCGTTAGCCCTCGGGACCAGCGGTGATCAAGAGAAGTCGTTGTAGGGGAATGAGAAGGCAGTCTGACACGCAGAGCAACATGCCAAGGTCTAGGAAAGAGCACAAGGACGGGGTTAGTGATACACCCAACACTCTGGGTTGCGCACAAGCCTGAGCCTTCACGAAAACCCCAATCTTGTGCTCACCTGAGTGTAACGCCTGGTTACGCGTCCATCGCGTTCAGAACATCGACGGTTGCCTTCAACTCCTCCGGTGAGTACTCTCGTAGGTATAGTCAATAACACTGGGAGGTCCAACGTCCCAACACCATCACGTCTTTGTGAGGAATACCAAGTGCCGCTCGCAAAGACGCGCCTCCTATGCGGAAAGAGTGGCCAGATATACCACGCCAACCCCTTGCCTCCCAGACACGTATACACACTGATGCCACCACCCCCCTTGTCAAATTACGACGGGATCCATCGGGAGTGTTGTATCCAAACAGGGAGTCCGAAGCTGAGCTAGTAGTTGCCAATCTTCGTAAAACCGCTTGAACTGGACAGAGAGCGTTCGGTTGGCCATTGAGTAGGATATTCTGAGCCACACCTGCCTTAGCAGTTTTAGCGCCCCGAACCTGTAGCGTGAAGGAGTTGGCTACAGATGACGTGCGTCGTACATCGCTTCGCCAAATCGAATTTAACCAAGGTGTCTCACCCACGGAAACGTCGTAAGTTAGCTCCGCGAGTCGAGCCAAACCCCAGAACGCGCAGATCGCGCAATCTAGAATAGCAGCCTCCTTCGCATCTGCGTGGTCTAAATCTTGAAACAAGGCTAGGAGGTGCGTGACCATAACCGCCGGCTTCGGGGGTCGAGATGGAAGCAGTGCGTCTGCCTGTGCGGAGGCCCTCAGCATTATCTTCACTCGATCCTTGACGACGTGCGGGTATGGTACGTTATGAAAAAGATGCCAGGGCTGTAGACCGAAGAGGTATTTCTTCAGCGTTGTCGCGTTGACCTCGTAGCCACTTGTTCCGAACTCCGTACGCCCCGCCCAGAAACAAAATCCGTAAATGTCTTGAGGGCTGGCAGGTAATACGAAATTGGTGATGCCGTTGACTTGGAGGTAAAGCAGGAACTTTTTAACCGTGCTGTTGTAGCTGAGCAGGGTATTATGCCTCCAGCCATTCAAGAAATGAAGATCAAAAGTGGAGAGTTGAGTAGCCCCGTTTCCGGACAAGAATTCAGTTAAAGCCCTTGTCTGAAGCAACATCATGAAACCCAACCTAATTGTGATGGTTTCTAGCCAAGCAATGTTCCGTTTTGATTTGCCTGATGCCTCCCATCCGGGTTTCATTTGAAATTGAGACCAATTCTTTCCTATCAAGACGCCGATCCCGAAAGATGTTGAGGCGTCGCCAACCCAACCTATCTCTTTCGGTTTACTCAAAGCAATTAATCTCATATTTTTAAAACTGTTCAACGTCTCCAACCAAAAATTTAAATCTTCTATAACATCTGATGAAAGTTTCCTTGTAGCAAAGGTGTTCACCCATTCTTTCTTCATCCTATGCAAGCTATTCAGATAGCATCTCAATTGTGGTAATATGTACATTACGTGATTCAGTCTTCCAATGAAGATTTCTAGCTTATTGCATGTGATAACTGCGTCCTCCTTTAAACACTCTTCTACTTGTTCTTTCCTTTGTAATAACTTATGTTCAGGCAGCCTCACAGTCTTATTCTCGCCATTCCATATAAAACCAATGAATTTTTGTTCGTAACTGAATTTTGATAACTTTTCAAGATTTGTTATAACTCCTAACTCTTGAGATCTTTCCGCAATCTCCTTCATTTCAACTGTTGAGCCTGACCTTTTGATGAATAGATTATCATCAACCCATCTAAAAACTGTAATTAAGTCAAACTCCTTCATCATGATCAATTTCCAAGCGTCTGCCGGTCTTCCGAAAGATCCATGACCCGCGACGCCGCCAAAGGTTATTCTTGTGTCGAGCATTAAATTCCCATCAAAATCTTTTACCATAAGATACTTCCACTGGTTCATTCTTGTAGGGATCTGCCGGTAGGCTTTTTCCCAATCGAAAACACCTAACAACCACGGCAATTTCGAAGTTTTGAAAAAAGTTGCCACAATATTGAAGTCATCCCACATAGTCTTGAAATCATCTGCGTCTACGAAAGAATTGACGGAAGGTATAGATGGGTCGTTTTTCGGATAAGATAAATCATTGATAGGTCTTAGAGAACCATCACCATTTATCACTGCGCCTAAAGGACTCGATCGAAAGAAATTAAAAATTCTTGAAACCTGAGCGTGTGAAAAGGGGCCATACATCCTTTTTGCGGCTACTTCTTTTGCCATAGACTTTATGATTTTCTCTGACGCCAACAATGATGATGTATGATTATTTGGTGTGAAATAATTTGCATTGGGTTCGGGAAGTTTGTGCTCTGGAATGCCTTGATCGAATCCGTGTTCGAAACCTTGTAAGACATCTTCATATTCTGGTAGCATCCTATGTTTAGATAAAGCTTCTTCCCACTTTGTTATGTTCATTTTGCATTTTATCTCACTCGGCCATTCTTTTGGTAAATCACCACTCTCTTTTCTCTCATTGAAGTTAGTTTCAGTTTGTAATATTTCATTCATGGCTCTATTGATAAAAAGTTTTGTCACAAATGCATTTAATCAATACATCAACACTCCACAACAAAGTCGTCTAAAAATTACAACAGAATACATTGATAGAGAAAAATTTATAAAATACGGGAAATTTGCAAATTCTATGCTTTCCGACGAGACGAGAAAAAGTGATAAATTAGGAAAGGTAAAAACTACCTACTTCTCTGGTTGTTTATTTTTCCCCATAGCCGCAGCCTTTTTATCCTTATAATTTTCATTGTAATTATTACCAAAGTAACCTCTTTGGAATTTCTTTTTCTCGAAAGGTCTACCATTATTAAAGTTGGAGTTATATTCATTCGAGCCACTACCACTTGCTATTTGATTGTTCGAGTTTTGATCATTGTTCCATTTCTGATAGGGTTTGTTCTGAAATTGATTAAGTTTTTCATTCTTTTTTGGTGGCTTTCCTGTAGCTGGATCCCAACCCTGTCTTTCTCCTCCTTCTACATAAGGGTTCTTTTGAAAGGAAGTTTCATCTAATAAACAAAAACGATTAAGAGGTAATTGGCTATCAGCAAATATTACAAGAATGTCATGAATTGATTCACTCACTCCTACTTCTGGTCGCTTGATAACATTCTTCTGCTAGTATCTGATTGTAAACAGATATATTTGGTGGTGCCACGTAACCATCAATTTCAGTTCTGTTAATCAATGCTTCTTCTCAAACTCTCATGTCATACTTTAAAGCTGTCAACCAACCCATTTCTGACATTACTTTCTCTACATTTAACTTATGAGCTAGAGACCAATCCACGAATCTCGTGAATTTCGCATTTCGAAGGGCGTTGATATAACCGTTATAATGTATGCTCCAATCACCGTAGTCCAACAACCACTCATCCGCATAAGGTAGGCCTGTATAGGCTTCAGTTTTTAATTCACCTTCTACTGATTTAATTTTCTTCTTAGCATGATAGCCCATAGACTTATTCTGCCAATCTTTATCAAAGATCGTTAATGGGATAGGGTAACACAACTCTTTGATGTTCCTATCGAAATAAGGTGTGTAACTGTGGTTTTGATAATTTGTGATTCTATTTGGGAAGAACCACATACCGTTTTCGAAAATACCACCGTCTGTCTTACCTTCTGGTCTAACATCTATGTCGCTCATGACTGGGTTAGCTGAAGTTGCTCTCTTCGTGACTGGTCTCAAATTGCTTAAATCAAGATTGCTCAGAGATTCGTAAACTTTCAGGTATTTCGCTGCAGCACTACTGTCTCCTTTCATCGTTAATTCCATGGCCTTCTTGAAAACTTCATTTTTATTTGTTAAATCTATTCCATTATCAAATTTATCATTCGATTCCATTATAACTGAGTCGTCTTATGAAAGAAAAAGTATCGAACATTAGATCTGATTTATCATCTTTCCTAAATTCTATAACATTTCTAGTTACTTACTTTGTATGTCTTTTGGTGCACTTCTAAGAGCGTCTAGATAAGTTGAGTTAATGACTTGACTTTCACTATTACTTCTTTCAATTGATAATGATTTCGATTTAGTCTTTTTCAGAGTAGCTTTGCCTATCGGAAGGATTCATAAATTAATAATCCAGCAAGCAATTAATTGAATATATTTTCGAATATTTTCTTACTTTTCAATACCGGTACTTGTTTAAAAGCATTGTTTACATCTAACAAGTTAGCGTTAACCACTTCGTTCGAGTTATTTGAATCTTGATCTTCTGTCAGATCTTCCATTATTATTATAGGATTTTTTACTATAGAACCTATATTTCATATTTAAATATCATTAGTTATTACATCGACATCATTTTAAAATTATTCTTCATTATTAAGAATTTAATTTAAAGATGTTTCTTACTTTGTTCTAAATTTGAGTCGAGATCTTTAGACTTGCTAACATCTCCTTGACTTTGAACTGCTTGACCCTTAGCAGATTGATCGAGATTCTTAGATTTATCTAAATCTCCTAGATCTAGGACAACTGCATTTGGACCGAGATTTGCATCTCCTTGGTCTTGATTTAACGTAGGTTCGTTCTCTTGAGACGTTCCAGCTGATTTTGGGATTTCACCTTGATTAGACTTCGTTAACATGTTCGTTATTGAATTGTTTTCGACGTCTTTATCTCCTGCTGCGGTTTTCTTCCTGCTTGATCGTTCGGTGTGGTAATCAAAATATGAGACCAATCAAAAAAATCAAAAAAAAATCGAATTTTGAATTACATCAATTATATTACATATAGTTTAATATTTACATCATTTTATCATTCAAACAAACTTATCAAGATAAGTATAAACTATTAACAAACAGATTACAAAAAGAAAGAAAGAAAAAAACATAAGAAAAACTCGAAAATAGAGGTATACAGGTTGGAAATGGTTTTTAGGGTAGTAATATTAGGTTTATGGGTTTAGTAGGGTTGGAATACGAAAGAGGAGCATTGTTTTAGTCAGCAACAACTTTAATCTTGGTGGTTGATAAGAGAAAACAGAGGTTATTAGCAGAAAGGTACTTTTTCGAAGTTGGTAAACAAGGGTTAGGCGTGTAGTTTACATATGTAATGGTGGTAGTGATGGAATTTAAGGTTGCCAAGAGGATTTTCCGGGATTTTTAAGGTTATAGAAGATGATGTCATATTACATGAGCAAGGAAAAGGGAGTAGCAGCTGTGAAAAGTGAAGAAAATAGGTGAAAATCGTCGAAAATGGAGGTTTTCAGCTAATTACATATGTCAAATGACGTCAGAATAAGTTGGTAGATGGCTCATTCAACGCAGAAGAGTGGATTACATAATGTACAACCTTTGAATCATTAGTAACGGAGGTGTATGTAAAAAGTTATAAGGGAAATAAGAAATTGGTGTGAATCTCGAATTTACAGTCACAAGACACATGTAACACCAAAAACCTTAACTTCACAACTCAATATCTTACTCATCACTCATCAGAAGTAGGTCTTATCGGTGTCAGAAATGATCAGTAACACGTGGGCTACAAGATGCACTTTAGTAATCAAAAATTGGAGCACATCTGAAAACATTCGTAATCTCAAAAATTGGGTTTCAGCTAGTTTACAAGGAAAAAATCACCTGTATACATCTTAAGAAGTGCTGTACATTACATCATTGCGTCATTGATCACTTTTGGCTGTGAAAATTACATCATACATTAGTAACAAGATCATTACATTGCGTCATTACATGGTTTTTAGGGTTATTTAGGCGGATTTGATTGGTTTTTGAGGCTGTTGACTGTTGTAAAGATTGTTACATGTGGATATAAGTACTCCTTGATGATTTTGGGATTGTAGCGCCCTTTTCTGCATCTTATACCTTTGTTGTAGTGTTATAAATCATCATTTATTTACTATATTTGTACTAAGATCACTTAAATCCGCCCCTTCAAAAGCAAGGAGAAATTTATTTACGTGTGTTAAAGACTACAAGTCTAATTGGGAATAATACTTACAACAGTATTGCTAGTAATAAACATAGTGTGTGACTTTTTTGCGCTTAAAATCTGGGAATAATACTTAACAACAGTATTGCTTTATTTCTCTGGTGCCTTTTATCCTTTTCTCTGTTATCACAAAGTGGTCAGCAAGTGCCCTTGTGCTGGTTTCTTTGAAGAAGGCAGTCTTTAGGCAACTTCTACTATATTACACGTAGTAGATTATCCCTTCTTAGGTGTTGTAAAGCTCTTGTTGAGCTTTAAATACTACAGATTGGTGACTCCACTGGGGCCTTATTTTAAAATTAGGTCAACAGCTGTTCTATTTTCAATCAATCATTCTAAAATTAATAAATCAACTTGATACAAGTCAATATTCAATATCAGATTCAAATTTAATTTATAACATTAGGACAAGTCTGGAAAATTAATTAATATATATCAATCAACTAAAAAATCCGAAAATTCAAAATTAATACTATTCTTTTCAAGATAATTATTATTATTGTTAAATACTTCAAACATATTAAATATCAGAGACTCAGCAATATATATCATCAATCATAAATCAAATTATAATTCAGTTCAATCATAAACAAATCATAATCAAAATAACAATTAACTGAAAATTTCGAAAATCCAAATCAGCTACTATTTTAATAATAAAGTCAATTCAATCAAAGACTTTGAAGGTTTTTATCCGAAAATACTCTAAGTAATCATATCAACAATCCATCAAAATTCTTACTTCAGTCTACAAAAGAATCAGTCAATAACAATTTCGAGTTTTTCCTTCAAAATCAAATCACCATTTCAAATCACTTTGGTCATTATCAATCTCAATTAAATCATCATCTTACCTCAAGATATTCATTTCTTTTGTTATCTGTGAAGTTTTACAATTGTCACGAAATTTATAATCTTCTTTCAAATGACCACCTTTCTTTTTAATTTTCTCAAAACATATCCTAAATGAATAGAATCAAGAGTTCAAATCAAAACAATTCTTCACAGAATATGAATCATAAAACAAGATCAGATCATGGATACGAATTTGAAGATAGAAATTATGTGAACAGACTTATTGAAAAGATCAATAAAATGAATCAAACTCGAGAAAATAAATCAAATATTCAATCACAACTTCCTAATTCATCAAAATCTATGATTTCTTTTTCAAAATCATTTGCAAATAATTCAGAACCTAGTTACTTTATGAATGATGCTACTTGGGAACAATACCTCCGAAAATGTAGGTCTAGTTGTAAATCCAAGAATAGTTCTGAAGTTGTTAAATCAATCCCTCCATCAGAATGTGATAATGAAGATTTCGAAATGAGTGCAGGATATGGTATTGGAATTTATAAATATAAAGATGAAGAAATAATTAATGTTGATTATAACGAAATTAATGATAATAAAGTAATGAATGATGATGCTGTGGAATTAATTGATTTTGTGAGCTCAGGAGAAGATGAGGATTTTATTGGAGATATGTTGATGGAAATTCAGAAGCAAAGTTCTAATTCAAAATTTGTAGAAGAGGAAATTGAAATCAAATTAGCAGCTGGAGCACGAATTTATGATTCAAATATTGAGATTAATGATTTGGAAACTCAAATTCAATTAGATTATAAAATAAAGAAGAAGGTATCATTCAGTGGTATTGTAGAAGTGATTGACTGTGGGGAATTAGATGAGGAGATAAAAAAAGAAAATGATGGAAATATTGTTAAAGAGATGTTAATTCAAATTCAGAAAGATGATGTTAAAAATCAAATTAAAGAAGATCTTAATATAAAGAAGAGAGTGGTATTCAATGATGTTGTGGAAGTGGTCAATTTCGTGGAATTAGATGAATTAGTAGAGGGCAAAGAAGATGGTGATATGTTTGAAGACAGTTTTAGGCGAATTAGAGAAGAACATAATATCAAGAAGAAGAGAGAAAAAGATAAGTATTCAAACACTTTATTTTCCATCAATTCAAATACACATAAATTTATAAAAAAATCAAATACATCTGTTTTCAAAGAGAATTCTAAATCAATGTTATCAAAATTAGTTATTAGAGTTAAGCATAAATTTTATCAGTTTTTCATTAAAGAGTTATTTTCAATTTCGCCTGAAGTGTCTAAAGAAGTTGAGAAATGGTCTAGGAAAGTGAGATTAAAATTGGTATAGAATGAATTATCTTTGTGGTGTGAGATTTAAAAGCAGAAGAAGGGGAGGTGGGCAGTGTAGTTGGTTGAGAAGATATTCGTGTGTTATTGATATGTTTCTCTTTCTCAAATTCAAACAATCTTATAGTGTTAGCAAAATAAACAAATTCTTAGAAATTTAAAAAGTCAACATCAATCAAATTAAAATAATATTCAAGATTGAATTTTAAAACGTCAGGATACACAGTTTAGTTGGATGAAAGCTATTTATTTTTTGATTGGTAAACTGGGGGCATTTTAGGAAGAAGGGGAGGATGTGGTAATCAAAATATGAGACCAATCAAAAAAATCAAAAAAAATCGAATTTTGAATTACATCAATTATATTACATATAGTTTAATATTTACATCATTTTATCATTCAAACAAACTTATCAAGATAAGTATAAACTATTAACAAACAGATTACAAAAAGAAAGAAAGAAAAAAACATAAGAAAAACTCGAAAATAGAGGTATACAGGTTGGAAATGGTTTTTAGGGTAGTAATATTAGGTTTATGGGTTTAGTAGGGTTGGAATACGAAAGAGGAGCATTGTTTTAGTCAGCAACAACTTTAATCTTGGTGGTTGATAAGAGAAAACAGAGGTTATTAGCAGAAAGGTACTTTTTCGAAGTTGGTAAACAAGGGTTAGGCGTGTAGTTTACATATGTAATGGTGGTAGTGATGGAATTTAAGGTTGCCAAGAGGATTTTCCGGGATTTTTAAGGTTATAGAAGATGATGTCATATTACATGAGCAAGGAAAAGGGAGTAGCAGCTGTGAAAAGTGAAGAAAATAGGTGAAAATCGTCGAAAATGGAGGTTTTCAGCTAATTACATATGTCAAATGACGTCAGAATAAGTTGGTAGATGGCTCATTCAACGCAGAAGAGTGGATTACATAATGTACAACCTTTGAATCATTAGTAACGGAGGTGTATGTAAAAAGTTATAAGGGAAATAAGAAATTGGTGTGAATCTCGAATTTACAGTCACAAGACACATGTAACACCAAAAACCTTAACTTCACAACTCAATATCTACTCATCACTCATCACGCAGCCAAGTCTT